TAGTATATAAAATAAGTTGACAAAGACAAAATTTTATCACAATACAAGAAAGTGAGCATCATCGTGAAACACCTGTAGGGTATAATAGGATTTGAGCAAAAGTATTTTTTTGACTTTTTTTCGAAAATCATGGTGTTCGGAGACTTCTCCCAAACAGGGTGGCAAATTGTTATATATCTTTTTGCTCTCATACATTATTGATTTTTTCGTTAATTCTAAATGGGGGATGGAGAGAAGTGAGTTTTTTCTCGTTATTTGACGAGTATTATGGCTTGTTCGGATTTGTGCTAATGCTCCAAACATAGAGTTTCAAGTATAAAAATGGAAGTTAGAGTCAAAATTTTGTGTTTCATAAATAACGGTTTACAATGGTCGGTGTAGTTAACTCTGGACATGAATATGACTGCTTGTTTCTGCAGGACGAAAACATAACCGAACAATTATTTGCTTCAATAACCCCAAAATGCAATGCCATATCGCAGGTGTAATTCGATTAGAGAAAAATGTGTCACCTTAATTGGCAGACCCAGTTCCTCAGACACAACAGTCACTGCAAAGCAGCCCGATGCCAGTTTCCTTTTGAGACTTTGGATGTGGATATGGAATTTTGGGTTACTATCAATTTCAATGCCAAGAAATTTGGTACAAAGTTTGTTTTCAATGGTCGTAGTGTCAAATACAAGAGGTTCATGAATGCATTTGAAAGTTAGAAGGCTAGTTTTTTTTGCATTGAAGCATAGACGGTTTGAGTCGCACCAGTGTTTTGCCTTCTTCAAATCATCTTCCGTTTTTGATTTTAGTAACTGAAAATTAGACTTCTTTAAAATCAGTGTCGTGTCATCAGCAAACATTGTGAACTGGCCCTGTATATTAATACTGGCTAAGTCATTTACATATAATAGGAATAATATCGGCCCAAGGACTGAACTTTGTGGAACGCCACTCTTGATATTTCGTAATTTGTATTTGTAGCTTACATCTCTAAATCCATAACACTTTTGCAGTACCCCGTGATTGACGCAGTCTTGTGTTTACAACGGTAGCTCTGTGCATTTGTATGCATTGTATGCATTCATGCCTTTTTTTCTCAAATAATTGAATCAAACCGCTCTGTTACTTCCCCACTTCCCCATTTACTACAGTTACTAGACGCAGATAGATTGCAAGGGCTGACTTAAGCGAACAGTCGGTGTACACCGAGTTTCAATTTATATCGCTGGTTTTAACTAGAAATTTCTTTTCTTATGAATGTAATATAGCTTCAATATCACGAGAAGCAAATGATGACAAATGGAAAATTGTTATATGTGTGTAAGTGATTTAAGTTGGATGGATACACAAGCTTTGAAAGGAAATTGTTATTAAACAGTGGATGGAGTTTAATATGCTACAACTTCAGTTGAATGGTTGAGAACATGCTCCAACCGAAATAAGTAAATGATGATATATTTGTTTGAAGGAGCAAGTATCTACAGAAATAATGAACCCCTTGGAAAATAATGGCGAGAACAACAATGAATATTTGGGAAAGACAGGTTTGGGCATTTTACTTCTCCATCTTGTGGGAATCTTCCAAAAAAAGGGAAGGACGCCCTCTCTATCTCATCGGAGATATTTACTCAAGATGTATAAACCTTTGAGGAAGCAAGCCACTCGCGCCAGCGAAAGGTCAGGAAGAAATTCCAATAATCCACGGCCTTCGAACCCGAAAAACAGTAACACTCATAACTTTATAGTTGTATTTCAGTTTTTTTAACCGCAAATTTGACAGTTTCATACTTAAAAATATGTTATCAAACGTCAAACTTGATCATTGAACTGACAATTCGTTTCGAAATATATAGTCTCTAACGAACCACGAAAGGAAAACATGGAATCGGGAACTGTACCCCACTAGAAATTACTTTTCGAAAGTTCATCACTCAATAACAAAATGAAAGTTGCTGTAAACTCAAATAGCTTTATGTCACACCAATTTGGAAGTTGTTTCTTGGAGTGGGTACTTGTTAGAACATTGGACTTGAGTGCCGGTGATCTCCTCGGTTCGATTCTCCTCAACGGAGGGCATTTTTATTTCTCTTCAACCACTCAATATTCAAATTGAATAAAATAGCAACGAAAAGTATTTCTGATTGTTTATTCAGGTTGCTTCATGTTATAAAATTCAATGATATTACTCTCATTCGATATATCCTTCACAAATAAACCGCATTTTTAAATATTCCTGTTATAAGTAAAATAAAAAGTATATTATTCTATTCGCGAAAAATGAAAATCACTAACTCTAATGATTTACGATAAACTTCATTCTCACGAGTAATAGCTACTTTCCCGCTCGTTGAATAAATATAGGTACTATGAATACGCTGTCTGTAAAAAAAATCTGAATTTTCATTTTTCTCGAATTATATTTTGTCCCCTTCAAAGTATTATCCCTCAAATATGATGCACTTGTGCCAGCGTTTTTTCCTATCCTCAAAGTTGTTATGATATGCACTTTTTTGTATGTCCTTGAATTCTCTCAGCGATCCGGTTTATATCTCCTCAATCGCTGGAAAACGCTGTCTTTTCATGGGCCTCTTCAATCTTGAAAAGAGGAAGAAGTCGCACGGAGCCAAATCTGGTGAATATGGTGGCTGAGGCATGATAACGGTGTTGTTTTTGGCCAAAAAATCACGAACAAGCAATGACGAGTGGGCAAGTGTATTACCACAATACCGAATTGTTTCTTGCATACGGTGCATAACTTCAAGATAATACTTCTTATTGACCGTACGACCACGTGACAAGAACTCATCATGCACTACGCCACGATAATCGAAGAAAATAGTGAGCAAAACCTTGACATTTGATCGAACATAACCGTATAACCATAACCCATGATTAGTCACCAGTTGTGACCCTTTTGAGCAAATCTGGATCGACGTTGACATCATTCGCTGCCACACGCTTCATGCCCCAAAAACTGGATAGCATGAGCATTCTCAGCAACTTCTCTTATAGGGATTCGACGATTCTCCATAAAAATTATCTTCACTTCCTCAGCATTTTCTTGGGTTGTTAATGTGCTGGGGCGTACAATCACCGTATGCCACTGTCAACATTTCAAGTGTTTTCGAGCATTCAAATTCATTTTTTACAATAAATTTCCTGCAAATTCATTTATCTATTTTTTTCGATAGCAAAAAATCGCCGAACTTTTATGCCTCTCACAAACAAACTAAACATGCTAAACAGCTGAAACATATGTTCGAGTCGAGTGTTAGGTTAGGTTAGGTCCAAAGTGAGTGGGTCTATTCGACCCTCCACCGTAACCCGCAAGGGTTTATTGTGGCTCACACCTATTCACACTCGACCAAATAAACCCAGCTTCCTAACGGAGCCGATTAGTTTGTATGGTGAGTGGTGTTTCAGTGCGTGCCCCAGCGGGACAGCCATGTAACCATTGAATTTTTTGCTTTGAGACGAAATATCTCGATGTGCTGGAGGCGGGGGTTACTACGTCCTTCAGCACTATTATAATTGCAGACAGCGGAGCTATTGTTTCAGTTCAAAAGTGACAAAGTAGTGCTTTGAGTTATTTTTTTTAAGTTATACTTCTTTTGGCGCGTTAGGAAAAATGATGAGAGTGAATTTTTACGATGCGCGCGCACATGTCACGAAAAGCCGACATCCTGAAGTTGACTTCTTCTTCTTCAATTTATATGGCCTTTGCTTTCAGTCGAGCGCATTTGGCCAGACTCCTCCTGTCGATATTGAACAGAAGCTTCGTCCGGGGGCGCATCTGTCTTGCTCTAAGCAATGCTGCCAACCCAAGTTTTACCATTCACTTTTTCTTTTATAAAATCAATTCCTTTTTATTACTAGGAGGCAGCCATACTCTATTATCGCACTGACGACCTCGTCAAATCCTTCGACATCCAGCCTGGTTACTGGCGTAGGGGGCCGCAGTTCTCTCAAAAAGTCTTTCACTTCAATATTTATTCGAACTTGACTTTATTTTTCAAAAAACACCTCACTTTTGGACTCCTCTCCGATCGCAACATCCATGTGCCATCTTTGAGGACGGTCGTTATCGGCACAACCGTCGTCTGTCGCCATCGAGGAGGAAGTCCCTGAAGTTAGCTAGTCACCATTTTAGTTTTTCAAAAAAGTTACCAGCCGAGTAAAAGTAAAGACATCTACATATATTTGCTTGAGAACTGACAATATTTATTCAAGTGTTAATACACAATACAACATGACACATGAATAAACTTCAACGAATAATCAAATGAACCACAGCGAGAAATAATTTAAAAAAAGTAGGTATAACTTCTCATGTGCGTACGTAAATACATACATTACTCTTTTATTTGTTAAGTGAACAGTGCAAGTCCAAGTAGATGAACTTTTGGTCATCAGTTATTTCTCAGCTTAGAGAATTACATTACAGAAAGTCTCCAGATTTTAAACGAAGACTCAAAGAATTATTATTAACAGTATTAATAGTCACCTCTTGATGATGCTAACTTGGTTAACGAAACGCGCGTCGAGAGACAGCATTTTTGTTCTGATGAGGAAAAAGTGTTTTCAATAGATTCATTTCACGCCTAATGTTCGAAGTTCTATTGATCAAGACGGTAAGGTAAACTTGACTCATAGACTGTTAAGGTCTGTTTTCTCATTCTTGTGTTTGTTTTTTTAAGGAAATAGTATAGTTACATATGCAGAAGTACACTGTATCACCACAGAAAATATAGTTATTTTCTGCATCGTATATCGCAAAAAAATATATATTTGAAAATACTCGTGGATAACCAAATGTGGAGATACTGTTGTTACATGAAAATTGAAGATGCCGTGTCTATTTGAAAACGGCGCGGCGCATAGAGTATATGCGTGCGCCTATTGTTTTGTCGGCGCTTCTACAACGTTCAATTAAAAACAAATGAAAAATTGTCGATGGCTACAGTAAATTCCCCCAAAACCCTGGCCTAGACAAATTTCAAAATGCTTACCGTTTGTGTCAATCAACGAAACAGTTCAAAATAAAGACACATTTTTTGTATACCACACAACACAATTCTAATAATCCGTCGTCTGTCGTATGTGAACTGTACTTACTGACCTATTCAAGATTATCGACCGAATACTGTTCGACATCATTCGGCAGTTATCGAAGCACAGCGATGCCACAGAATAGTAAACAATGCGATGCTGCCTGCTCTGTCGATGTACAGGAAGATTCGCGATGATTTCCTTGTGTAAATAGTCGATTAGAAATGGGTTGAAAGAGAGATTTATCAAATGTTATAGTATAGTGCTTCGATGTTGTGGAATGCTCTCGAATAGTTGCGAAAATTCTGGACTGTTCTAGAGATTTACAGAAGGCGAAAATTCTAATCCTTATATTTTCAAAAGTACGCCGTTTCAGTAAAAACGAAAATCTTTTTCATGGACAAGGAATAGAGGGCTACGAAAACGTTTAATTTGATCGTTCCACAATGATGTGGGATGTTCCGGAATTTTCCTGAGCGTTCGATAACATTCAATAATGTTTCGGGGTGTTCTGAAATATGGTGGAATGTTTTCGAATACTCTCGAATGTTCAGGACTGTTCTAGAACTTTCTAGAGGACGAAACTTCTAGCCCCTATATTGTCAAAAGCACACCTTTCGGGTGAAAATTGAAACACTTCATGGACAAATTGATGTAACGCTATGACAGAAGGAAAAATTCATGTGTTAGGGTGCTAGTATACAATATTCTCACACTAGAAATAAATAGAAACCGTGTTTTTTGCACGATATTTATTATTACGATTGATTATTTATCTCTCTTCTCCTTGGTAATATATTTGAAATTGTTCTACCTTAGCTGCAACAGAACCAATACAAATATAGTTGGATGCAAAATTGATTAATTAATATAAAGGTTCTCAATATTGAAAAAATTTTACATTTATAGATTCTATGTAGGGGTTATATGCTTGAATATATTTGTTATATTGATAAAGCATTAAGTAATCAGTGGATTCTGTATAGGAATTATTCTGATTTACCAAATAATACCATAATAATTGATGCAATATTTTATCTTTTCATTCAATTAGACTTTCATAATGTATTTTTCAATATGACCACTTCACTTCAGGTTTGTATGATCAGGAGGTTTACCTTATCTCGTTAAAAGATAATAATTGAAATTATATATAGTTAGTCAGATGGAATCGTCGCTGGTTCTCAGCAGGCAAATGATAATGAATCCAAACTCATGTTTTATTAGAGATTAGCCCTGGCTTCGCTAAACGTAGATCATATATGTCATAGCGTCTCATGATCTCTCAACTCTTAATAATCACCTTTGATAAAAAATTCACTCCACAAAACTATGTTCACAAATCAATCTTGATTTTTATTTTAGATTTTTTACTAAAAAACTACACAAAACAGAATTGCGACTTTGACCTTCAAACTGAATCACTACTTAAAATCAAAGCAATTGCGATTTTTTTCATCAAGCAGGTCGCATCGATTTGTAAGGCGCTTGAATTTATTTTGTCGAGCGATAAGTTTGGTTTTGCGATGAATACTAAGATCTAAACGTATACCATTTTGAATATAATTACCCATTACTTTGTGAAAATCAATAACATTATTCTTGATACACGTGAAACACTTCAGAATACATGTTTCATTACAACAGTAGTTTTCTCAGTTGGACTGGTGTGACAATGTTCTACAGTTCGACTGGTAGATGATTATATATTATCCTATTATAAAATACTTATAAAACTTTCGATTAAAATCGACGTGGGGAGGGGGAGTCTGGACCTAAACTCGCTGTTTCGAATGGGATAAGGAGTGGTGACTGAAATGGGTTTTGTTTGATATTGATCTCTATGTAGGTATGTATGTAGGTTCGTTTCATGTTGAAGGATTTTTATATATTCCAACTGGTGCGCCACCACTGGTGATGAAAGGTGGCGTTTACATATGAAAGTTACTTTTTGATCATTGTTCTTCCGTACCGCTATATTTTGGGAGGCTGAAATTTTATGTTGTAGATGTGCAATGAGAAAGGATTTTTAAATATTCCAACTGGAGCTCCCCCACTGGGAATGAAAGGGAAGCATTTATCTACAAAAATCACATTTTCATCACTGTTTTTTCACATAGCTATATTTTTAGAGGCTGAAATTATGTATGTAGGTTCGTTCTATGGTGTAGATGTGCAATAAGCAAGGATTTTCGAAATGAGATGCCAGTCGCAAGGAGAGGAGGCGCGTCCATGAAACAAAAATATATTTTTTTCACTGTTTCTCCATGCCCTTGAATTTCAAGTGGGTGAATTCATATTTAGTATCAGCATTGCACACGTGTGGAGCCGTGGCGGGTCACTAGTAGTATATATTTTTGTTAGTGATAGATGTAAATAAATCCATATTGGAATGAACAATGGTAAAGCTCACATTTGCAACTTTGTTTCCACAGAAGACGAAAACAAGCTGCAGTCTATACAGAGGAAAAAAACCGGAAGTANGAGAATGAAGAGACCTTTCAAACGATATATCACAAACCTATACTTCCCATTCAAAAAATTTGGGGCTGTACCAATCATTCGAAGGGGGTTGAAGGTGGTGGTGGCATTTTTACATTGAAAAATTTCAAATTTTAATTTACATTTGATGTGTTTCGTTTTTTTTTAAATATGTACAGTAACCGAATTAATGAATTTATTCCATTTGGCTTTTACACACTGTATATGAAAATAACCTTTTCATCACTGTTTTTCCGTACCGCTACATTTTCGGAGGCTCAAATATTGTATGTAGGTTCGTTTTATGTTGTAGATGTGCGATAAGAAATGATTTTCAAATATTCCAACTGGGGCGCCAGCAATGGGGGAAAGGCTCATCCATGAAACAAAATTGTCTTTTCATCACTGTTTCTCCATGGCCTTTAATTTCCGGTGGGTGAATTAATATTTACCATCAGCATTGCACCCGTGCGGAGCCGGAGCGGTCGCTAGTGATATGATAAATGTACGTTGCTCCATTAGAAATTTTCCAAATTATGGTCTATTATATATATATTTGGTAAACAACAAGGGTATAAAAATATTTTTGAATGCCAGATCATATTTCTTGTGATGGTACCAAAAATGTTGGAGCATTAGCTACCTCTCTATTAAAAATCTACAAATAGTCATAGTATCCTAAGGTAACTTGTGTTTGTTTATTTGTTTTCGTACTAGGCGACATTTTTGAGGTTATGTGGAAGAGCAATTGAATGATGACTTGTTATCATGCAAATCGAACTTCGACTTTTGTCTTCATACAACAATCAAATTGTATCTGATTGATGTGAAGACGATATTATTATTATAACGATTATTATCATTATTTTCTTTCATGTTCTCTAGATATGTCTATTGGGATATTGGGATAGAATACCCTTATATGATTGTTTGGATTGGAAGTGGCCTTTCCCAGAGGTTCCCAATTTTTTACGGTTTGCGGCTCCTTAAATAAATAATCGAATTTTTTTCGGGGCGTCCTTAATATATCAGACTTTGTTCTGAATTTTTGACTTTCTTAAAAAAATTGGAAAACTTTCGGACACGGATTGGAAAGAAAACAATGAAAGACTCGAAAATCGCCAAATTCTTAGAATTTTGTCAGCATACACGACTGTTCATGCGCAAAAATTTGAGAGTTGCAAGTTCCAAGAAAATTGACAAATTGTTCAACTGAATATTTCGCAGCGCCCTTGTGATGACATCTTGGCGCCCAGGAAGCGCCTTGTTTTATTTTATCGAAGATTTTTGAGACATCCTGAATATGCAAGACAAAAATTTGACCTATGCAGATCGAAACAGTAGTGTTTGGTTTTAGATTACGAATGCTCCGTTTTTGAGCTCTGGTGTTATCTAAAAGCTCTTTATTTTTCAGAATCTTCACTTTCATTTATGGAATCCTTGTATATCTCAAAACTGTCGATTCGGAAATTCATCAAGGGAACAGAATGCTGCCACCTGACTGAGTTTGATGGATAATTTTCATTAAATAAAAATACATTTACATTTATATATCTTTATTTATTATAATTCCATAAAATAAACTCAAAACTAAGAAAGTAAGAAGTAGATGGTATCTTTTAAAAAACTATAAATAATTTACGTGACAACGTTAGTTTAAAACGCCTTGTCAACTTATTCTGTATGTTATAACATTGATTGTCAGTATTTTAATTAAGGTTTAAAGTTCGTGAACTTCAAGTCTGACAAATGATTAAATTAACGGAAATTAATAAAATATAAGTTTCACAAATGATCGGTTGCGGAGATAAAACCCGAACATAATACAGGAAGTAGCTCGCCTATTTCATGAGAAAGTTCTTAATTTATCGCTCATATCTCAAAGAACAATAAGCAAAATCTGTTTAAAATCCGTTAATCAGCTGTCGCCCCCATACAAACGACAACTCTCAGAAGTTGAGAAACTTGTGCGAGCTAAGGACTAACAAGGTCTTACTTTTTAACGTGTGATTCCTGTCACGGTTGCAGAATCATCCCCGCTTCAACCAGATACATTCTCTCGAGAAAAATATCTGGTCGAGGCGGGAATCAAACCCACGACCTTCCGATCGTGAGTCGGGCGCACTACCACCGCGGCCAATTCCACAATTCTCCAAAATAGAGAAGCAGTTTCGCGAGCTTGGTCATGTGGGGCAGATAAAAAAAACAGCTGCCAATGCAATGAGTGATGAACTGATGAACTCAAACTAGATGTGATGCTTGAGTTTGAGGAAAACCCACATACATCGAGTAGACAGGCATCCACCTCATTCAATGTTGGCCACACATCAATAGTAAACATATTAAAAGAAAATAAAATTATACCTACTCAGGAGCTCATGGAAGACGATTTTGATAGAACTTATTTTTGTGAGCAAATGATGGACATGCTGGATAACAATCCTCCAATTAGAAAGACGTTATATTTTCTGTCGAGTGTACCTTTATTTCTCTTAACGGTTATGCTAATCGGCAAAATTGCCGCTACTGGTCAAAGGAAAATCCTCACTGGATGAGAGAAGAACGTACGCAATAAATACCCTCAAAAGGTTAATGTTTGGTACCACTTCAAAATGATATCATTCCAGGTTTGGCAATTTTATATCCTGATCCAGGAAACACTCAAGTTCCAGTGAATACATCACCAAGTAAATGTCCGGCAATCTGTTTAAATCTGTTTTTCCGTTAATCAGCTGTCGCCCCCATACGAACGACAACTCTCAGAAGTTGAGAAACTTGTGCGAGCTAAGGACTAAGAATGTCTTACCTTTTAACGTGTAATTCCTAACACGTTTGCAGAATCATGCCAGCTTCAACTAGATAAATTCTCTAGAGAAAAATATCTGGTCGAGGCGGGAATCGAACCCACGATCTTCCGATCGTGAGTCGGACGCACTACCACCGCGGCCAATTTCACAACAATACTTATTTATATTGTAGATATG